TGGGATTTGTAAAATGGTACAAGATTCCCATATACTGCTGACCCTTGAACAACGTGGTTAGAGGCACTGAACTGTGCACAGTTGAAAATCCAAGTGTAACTTTACAGGCGGCTCTCCGTATCCAAGGTTCTACATCCCCAGAGTCAACCAACAGTGTAGCTGTTGTATTTACTACTATAGTATTTACTACTGAAAAACACCTGTGTATAAATGTACCTGAGCAGTTCAAATGTATGCTGTCCAAAGGTTAGCTGCACTTTAAATCATCTGTAGATCACTTATAGTACCTAATACAGGAATTTCCCCGGTGGTCCAGTGGCCAAGACTCTGTGCTCCCAATGCAGGGGGCCCGGGTTTGATTCCCAGTCAGGGGACTAGATCTCATTCATGCAATTAAGAGTTGTACGTGTCACATGCTACAACTAAGACTCAGCGCAGCCAAAATAAAAAAAAAAAGACAATACAATGTAAGTACTATGTGAGTTGTTGTAAATACAATGTAAAAGCTATATAAATAGTTGCCATGAGAACTGCAAATTCAAGTTTTGCTTTTTGGAACTTTCTGGAAATTTTTTCCCCCCGAATATTTTCGATCTGGTTTTGGTTAAATCCACAGATGCAGAACCGGCAGATACAGAGGGCTTAGTATAAAATTATACTTTCTTGTATAATTTCATATTCACACTGTGAAATATGTATTCTTCTCTTGATGTTTTTCTGACCATTAGAAAAATACATTCATAACTCCATACAAAAAGGCAGTGGGTTGGATTTAACCCCCACTGGTCAGGGTTTGGGACCCCTGCTCTTTACCAACCAAAATAAACAAACTTCAGCCACATTGTCAACCAGATGCAGCTTAAAAAACATAATGTTGGGACTTGCCTGGTGGTCCAGTGGTTAAGAATCTGCTTGCCATTGCAGAGGGCACAGGTTCAATCCCTGGTCCAGGGTGATCCCATGTATGGAGAGGCAACTAAGTCCGTGTGCCACAACTACTGAGCCCCCGCACTCTAGAGCCTGTTTTCTGCAACAGGAGAAGCCACGGCAGGGAGAAGCCTGTGCACCACAGCTGGGCCTGTGCCACATGCCCCAGCTAGAGAAAGCCTGCCCACAGCAGCAAAGACCCAGTGCAGCCAAAAGTGGGTAAATAAATACATTTTAGAAAGATGTTGAGTGAAAGAAGTAGGTCGCAAAGAACACCCACAACATCATTCGGACTATACAAAGTTCAAAAACAAAGCCAGGCTAATCTATATTGTTTAGGGACACAAACCAAAGGATAAAAGTACAAAAAAAAAAAAATGCCAGGAAGCAATTCCCCTAAATTCAGGATGGTGTTACCTCTGAGAGGGGGAGAGGGGGTGTCTTGGGAGGTGTCCAGGGGCTTTGGGGCACTAAAATGTTTTCTTTCTTGACCTGGGTGGTAGACACGCCAGACTTTGCTTTATAATATTTATGGTTCTCTTCTGCGTATGTATTCTATTTTGCAATTTTAAAAGAGGAAGCACTGACAATGCCCCATTGGAATGGCATCTGCACTCCTACCTGACGGGCGTTTATGATCCACCTGGACCCACATCCCAGTGGGAATCGTATCCCGCAGCTCCACTAAGAGACCCTCCTCCCCAGCGAGTCTGAACCTCTCGCCATTCCCTCCCCCGGGCTCTGCCTTCTGGCCTCCCAGCCTTTATTCGTGCTGTGCCTGCCACCCACCCACCTGCTCCGTCTCCTCCCCACCGCCCCCTCCAGCAACCCCCCCGCCCCACCTCCAACAGGGAGGTCTTCTCCTCCGCCTGCCTCGGAAGCTCTTTATTGGGATTAGACAAAGATCAAAAGCAGAGGCCAGTCCTGACAGAGGCCCGGAGCTGCGGGGAGGGAGGCAGCAGGATCCCGAACATCTTTTCGACAACAAAGGAAGCGGTTACACCTGAGTCCAGAGCTAACGGGGGCGGGGAGGCGAGCCTGCATCAGGACTCTGGCCCTGGGGTCGTGCTTCTGCGGGTGAATCTCACAGTTTCTGCCAGGCTGGGAGTAGTGGCTGATTCACCCCCAGTTCCCCCCAGTGCCTGGAACTGGTCCTCTTTAATGAATAGTTGAGAAATAAACACTGCCAGGGAGAGAATGGAGACTGATGTTTGTTGAGGACACCGAGGCTCAGAAAGGTTAAGTAACTTGCCTGAGGTCACACAGCAGTTAATAGAAGAAGGCAGGATTTGAACAAGCTCTGTCTGGCTTCAAAGTCCTTGGAAGTGACTTGAAGCCTGGTGGGAGCAAGGCTAGAGCAGGCATGTAGCTGCTCTCAGGAAAGCTGAGCCTCAGACTCAGATAATTCTCCTCTAAGGAGGTGACCTTGAGACCGGAGGTAGCCTCTAGACCCTTTGAGAAAAGCAGAATTTGCAGAGAGATCAGAGGAGAGCAGGAGGAAGAGGGTTGGGAGCAAGAACTGTCCTGAGATACCATCCCAGGGTGTTGCTAGAAACCTGTGGAAAGGTCAGAGTGACCCCAAGGAGCCCAGGGGCTCCCCAAGAGGTAGAGCCAGCCAACTGAAACTTACATGTCGATTGGCTCTGCTGGGCAGGCAGGTGGCTGACATTCTCTCAGCTCTTATCACGTGCACCTTCAGGCATTACTATTGCAGCCGCTTGACAGGTGAGGCCATTGAGCAACATTAAGAACCTGCCCAAGGGGACTTCCCTGGTGCTCCAGTGGCTAAAGGGCTTCCCAGGTGACTCAGTGGTAAAGAATTTGCCCGCCATTGCAGGAGACAAGGGTTCAATCCCTGGTCCGGGAAGATCCCCTGGAGAAGGAAATGGCAACCCACTCCAGTATTCTGGCTTGGAGAATCGCATGGACAGAGGAACCTGGTGGGCTACAGTCCCTGGGGTTGCAAAAAGAGTAGGACATGACTTAGTGACTAAACATCAACAACAACCAAGGGCTAAGACTCCTCACTCCCAATACAGAGAGACTGGGTTCGATCTCTGGTCAGGGAGCTAGATCCCACATGCCATAACTAAGAGTTCTCACGTCACAGCTAAAGATCTCGCATGCCACAACAAAGACCCCTTGCAGCCAAATAAACAAGAAATATAAATATTGGGGAAAAAAAGAAAGAACCTGCCCAGGGGCCCAGATCCAAAGTAGAGCTCAGATCCAGACTCTGTACACCCTGGCCCGCACACAACCCTACATCGGGTGGTCCAGGGAAACAGTGCATTGAGCCGAAGCTTCAACCACGACGCTCCCCAAGGTCCCCCATGGACACTGCTGAGGCTGCAGGCTGGGTCTGGGAGCTGGCTGCACCAGGCAGGTAGGTGAGGTCAGGGGAGGTTTGGGGGATGTGAGAGAAACTGGATTCCCTCCATCAGACTTTCCAAGCACAGAGACAAGAAGGTGGGGAGGGGTACGGCACAGCCTAGAGACAGAACCCAGGACCCGCAGGGGAAGGACCAGGAGTACTGCGGTGCTGTTTGCTGCTCCAAGAGGAGACCGCAAGGTGTTTCCACCTCTTGTGAAAGAGCAGAGTTTCTCCCAGGTACAATGTTTGCTGCAATCCTGGGGGCGGGGGCGGGGAATATGTTGTTTGTTCCTGGTCAAGACAGTTACAAACAGCACTTTTCACAGCAGCACCCCAAAAAGTCTCTTCTACTCAGTTACTGGAGTGTGCGGGGGTCCCTTTGGGGGAGGAGGGACCACACAAAGAGAAATAATGGGAACTGGGGGGAAAATTAAAACGAATGAGTTTCAACACGCTGTCACCAAGAAGCTGCATTTTCTCAGCCTTCTTTGCATGGGGGGAGGGGGTGGGGCCTGGTGACAGGGTGGGGGGTGTGAAGTGCACAGATGAAAGGAGATGACCTCACTGGGGCTGGGCCATCAGGCCTGCGGTAGGGGTGGGTATACCCAGTTCAGTCTTGCCTTCCCAAACGGGTAGATCTTTTGTGAAGGATGTTCTTTACAACGAAAGGCAAGAGGCCCCCTGGAGTCCACAGTGCAGAGCTGAACCTGGCCTCTACTCACCCTCTAGGCTGTGGGCCAGCTATCTAGCTGCTCTGGGCCTCCATTTCTCAGTGCTTACACGGTGCCAGTGGGAACAGCGCCCCAAGGGTGCCTCAAAGGGGCCTGAGTACAAGTGTGAAGCCCAGCGTATAAGCGCAGAGAGGCTAATTTATGATAATAAGAGTAGATGTCAACCCTCACTGGTGGCTCAGTGGCTAAGACTCTGCTCTCCCAATGCAGGGGGCCCGGGTTAATTCTCTGGTCAGGGAACTAGATCCCACATGCCGCAACTAAGAATTCACATGTTGCAACTAGAGATATCGCATGTCGCAACTTAACACCCAACACAGCCAAATAAATACATTAAAAAAAAATACATTGACAAATACAGCTGTTATTGCTTATGGTATGAATGAAAGGCAGAAGATGGAGCAGAAAGGTGGGAGCAGGTCCTGGAAGGCTCATAAAAATCAAGGTGAATGAGAAGGAAAGCATCCAGCCTGCACCCAGCCTACCCAGCGGGGTGGGCGGATGCTGGGGCTACAGGAAAGTGGGCACTGCCCAGGTGAGACAGCCTCAGAGACCCCCGAGCCAAGGTGGGAAGGTGGGCAGCCCTGGTGGGGGACACTCCTGGGAGTTCCCCGGCCTGGATGAACTGGCCCCTAGGGCTGCCCCTCCCCAGAGATCCCACACCGCCCCCCACCCCCCGCAGCAACGCCCACCCACCTCGCTGAGGGGCCAGAGGGTCAGGAGCAGCCGGGAGGGAGGCTGTTCCAGCAGCGAGAGGGGGGCGCGGCCCCGCCTCTTCAAAAGCCACCTCGCCAAGGCATTAGCTAAACATCTCCCGGTCCCCGAAGGCTTCCCCTGTGAAGTCTGCAATGTTCAAACGCAACCAGCAAATCCCCAGAGACGGGTCCGGGGAATTAGCCGCGCGGCGGATGAAAGCGGCTGTGATGTGCGCGAGGCAGAGAGCGGGGGAGGAGGGGAGGACCGCGTACCTGCGCCTGCCAGCGGCAGGGTCCAGGGGAGCAGGATCAAGCCCAGCAGCCCGGGGGCCGGGAGGGGGCCCCGCCGGGCCCGCCGCCGCGGAGGCCAGCTCTCCATCGGGGCCTCCTTCCTCTTTAGGTCGCGGGCGGGGACAGCCTGCTAGTAGCCACGGTTGCCCTTGGCGTCCTTAACAGGCTCCTCCCCGGCCGGCCTTCTGCTTCCTCCAGGTCTCAGTTGGCCGCCTTGTCCTCTCAATGACCCCGGACTTTCCAGGTGGGAACAGTTTCAGGTCAGGGCGCCGCCAGGCGAGAATCTGGGGCTCCCACCCGTCCAGGATGTACAGATGTGAGAGTTGGACCATAAAGAAGGCTGAGCACTGAAGAACTGATGCTTTTGAACTGTGGTGTTGGAGAAGACTCTTGAACGTCCCTTGGACTGCAAGGAGATCCAACCAGTCCATCCTAAAGGAACTCAACCCTGAATATTTATTGGAAGGACTGACGCTGAAGCTCCAATACTTTGGCCACCTGATGCGAAGAGCCAATGCATTGGAAAAGACCCTGATGCTGGGAAGGATTGAGGGCAAGAGGAGAAGGGTGTGACAGAGGATGAGATGGTCGGATGACATCACTGACTCAATGGACATGAGTTTGAGCAGACTCCGGGAGTTGGTGAAGGACCGGGAAGCCTGGTGTGCTGCAGTCCATGGGGGAGCAAAGAGTTGGACGCGACTTAGCACTGAACAGTAACAGCGACATGCAGAAGAACAGGGAGGGGCTAGGCCTCCCATTCCCGCCCCACCCCGACCCCTGAGGCGGTGGCTTCTCCCCTTCTCAGCCCCTTTTCTGCCGGATAAACTAGCCCAGAGGAGGGCTGGTCTAGCTGCTCAGGTCTGAAACTTAAAAAACAACAGACCAACCCCATTCACACAAACTGCCCCTCGGAAATAGCGGAAATAGCGCAGGAGCCCCCTGGGTCAAGGTGCTCCTCGAAGAGGATGGTTTGGGATGGGGGGGCGGTGGAAGTGGCTAGGGGGATGAGGGAGGGGCAGGCATTTGGAGGGGGTGTGGCAGGTAGGAGCCCCAAGTTCCCAGCCTTCCCCGGGGGCCAAAAGCCTGCTGTCTCTCCTTAGCCCAGCAACAGCCACTGTGGGGGTCCCCCTGAGAGGCCCAGCAGACCCCTCCCCTCCGACCCACCTCAGATGTCTTACCTGCTACAGCTCCCCTAAACTCGAACCTCCCCTCTGCCACCAGGAGGCCCAGGAATCGCTTCCCCATCAGGAGGGAACCCCAGTCCTTGTCCTCCCCTCCACAGGCCCCCAACATGGGTCAGTGACTACCTGTCTCCTGGGACCCCTCTCCCCAGCAGACTGGGAGTGGTGCAGGCCTGGCATTCTGGAGCCCCACATCGGGCAGAGCCGGATGGCATGGGGACAGATGTGTGCCTGCCTGTCCAGAGGGGCAGAGGGAAGGGGTCTGGGGTCGGGGTGAGCAGCCAGCCGGCCCACAGAGGAAGGCGGGGGGCACTGAAGGTGGTAAATTTCAGCACAAGCTGAGCACACCCCCTTTTTCCCCCATCATTGTTGGTGCTCCTCAGTGGCTCGGTCGTGTCCGGCTCTTTTGTGACCCCATAGACTGCAGAACGCCGGGTTCCTCCGTCTGTGGGATTCTCCAGGCAAGAATACTGGAGTGGGTGGCCATGCCCCACTCCAGGGGACCTTCCCGACCCCAGGGATCGAACTCCAGTCTCCTGCAAGTCACCTGCGTTACAGGTGGATTCCTTACTGCCGAGCCACCGAGGAAGCCCCTGGTACCCCATCAACCCTCAAGATCAAGGCTTTTATCCCAATCTGACAAACTGTGCCCCCAAGAGGCAAAGCGATATGCCCATGATAGGGGCAGCCCGGCTGGGTGAAGCCAGAGCCTATTTCCCCACCCCTGACCGGCCTGCAGAGATGGCAGCACTGGGTCCAGTATCTGCCCTTGGTCTGAATGCTTTCCCCTCAGCCGCTGAGCACACAAACAGTGAAAACCAGAAAGCTGTTTCCTACCAACTCCAGGAGCGCCAGGAGGATGGCAGGCAGCAGGGCCCGCCCGCCAGGTGAGGAAGACGTATGAACAGCAGACACTTCCTGCGGGCTGGGGGGCGGCAGGGACCCCAGTGGTATTGACTGTGGATCCATCACCGTGATACATGATCGCAGATGTCGCAGTGAGACACAGATAATCGGCTTCACGCTGTCTCCGAGCTCCTGGGGGGAGCAGGTTGTCTAAGCACCTCGATGCCATGGTGATAGACGTCATGTTAATGCCTCCACGCACGGAGGGAGCGTTATAAAGGCATCGGTCTGTGCCTCCAGGAGTCTCTTTATGACTTGGCATCAGGAGGCAGCTGAGTGCCAGGCTGCCTTGGAGCAGGGACCCCTGCCTGTCCCCTCTGGGGCTGCTCTGCCCCCCTCACCCCTGCAACCACCAACACAGAGCCTGCGGCCCCCTAACGGTGCCGCCTGCGCCCTGGGTCTGCATGCCCCGGGGTCCTAGGAACTTGGCTGCCTCTGGGCCCGAGTCCAGCCTGCAGACTCTTGCCTGCCTGGGGGCCTCCCATTTTTCTTTTTTTTTTTTTTTACCTCTGACTCCCCTGAGCCTAGCACAGGGCCGGCACCTGGTCTGTGCTCAATAAATCCTGGTGCATGAATGAAGGATGGATGAGCCTAAGTGCCTCCCTCCCAGGCTGGCCGTGGAGGTGGGCGCCTCAGGGCATCAGGCTGGACTCCAGGGTGGGAGGAGGTGGACTCCAGGGCGGGAGGAGGTGGGCACCCTCCCCAGGCAGACATGACGTGAAAGGAAGTGTCCAGAAGTCCAGGGTCATTGTTGAGTTTTCTAGATAGTCTGGGGCCACCCAGCCCCTGGAGAGAGGCAGGCGCAGACCATGGGTGGGGACCCAGGGGCCCAGGCCGTGCCATCTGAGCCTCAGTGATGGTGATGAAAGAGAAGTCACAGCACATTCAGGAACCACAGTTTCCTTGAGACTCCACCTCCTCTCCCTGAAGCGGCTGCCGGGAGGTGAAGTTGCTAGACTTGGGGCCACAGCCTTCTCCTCTCCCCTGCCTTTGAGGGGAGCTTCGATCAGTGAGTGAAAGGAAGAGCAGACTGTGTAAGGCTCCACTGGCATCTCTGGGGCGCAGCCTTTGGGCCAGGCCTCCACAATTGAGTCTGCAGGTGAGGGCCCCGGGGTCCGCTCATTTCAGCTCCTGCTGTCACAGTCGTGTGTCCATCCTTCTATCCATCCATCCATCTCTTCTCATTTTGCTGTGCACCTATTCTTCCCCAGGCATTGGCCTCAACAGGAGGATGCAGAAGTGAAAGACCCCAGTTTCGAGGAGCCCACGTCTCAGGTGGGAGAGCAGCCATCCGCACAATTACACAATTGCATGGCAGTTGAGAGCAGTTACTCAACCAACGCCAGACACACCGTATGAGATGATTTTAATCTACACGTCTATTTAATGCTCACTGCAATTCCATGAGGTAGGTTTTATAATCGGGCTTCCCAGGTGGCGTTAGTGGTAAAGAACCCACCTGCCAACACAGGAGACATGAGATGTGGGTTTAATCCCTGGGTCGGGAAGATCCCCTAGAGGAGGGAATGGCAATCCACTCTAGTATTCTTGCCTGGAGAATCCCATGGACAGAAGAGCCTGGCTGGTTACAGTCTGTGGGGTTGCAAAAAGTCAGACATGACTGAACAGCTAACACACACACACATTTTATAGTCACTCCCATTTTACACATAAGGATGATGAGGCACAAGAAAGTTAAAATTTGCCCAAGGTCACACAGCTAAGAAATGCATACAGGGGAAGTGACTTTGAGGATGACTCCAGCCTCTGCTCCAGCCTGCCTCAATAGCAGAGTGTGTACAGACCAAAGAGGGAGGCAGGGGAAGAAGTGAATTACTTGGGGTGGAGGGAGGAAGGGGTGACCAGGAGGACTTCTTGGAGGAGGTGGCAGCTGTGGAGGAGGAGGCCATGGGGGAGCATACAGGTCTCCTGCAGTCCTAAAGCACCTTGTTCACACAAAGACTAAAGCTTTCCCAATGAGACCACATGTTGTTGGCCTCCATACACTTATTAAGTACCTACTGTGTGCCAGGCAGTGGGGGTACAAAACAGAAGTCACAGTTTTGCCCTCAAGGTGTTCCCCATTTAGGGAGGAACACAGAACCCCCAGACAGGATTTCCAGCTGCCCCAAGTGAGTGAAACAAGGGTGAGTGAGTGAGCGAGGTGGGGCCCCAAGGCCGCGTTTGGCTCAGGATCTGCTATGTCTCCTCCTCACGTGAGCCGTGAGGGCACCAGAAGCGGAAGGGGACCACTCTCCTCCTCTCCCACCCGCAGGAAGTCATTTCCTTCCTCCCTGTAGATCCTCGCACCAGGAGGAGCCTGCCAGGGCCCCCTGAGAGCAACCTCTGAAGCGGTCTGGTAATCGGGATGGAGAATGTCGCTCTCCTCTGGGCACCGTGACCCCACTGCCCAGGGCACCAGGGGCAGATGGATCTTGTTTTCTTCCATCCTCTGCCTCGGGTACCCCGCACACTGGAGAGAGAGAGAGTGGTGTGCAGGGTGGCCTCCCTCCCCTCCTAGCAACACCCGGGTTTGCCTGGGGGGGCCCCTTTCTGCACCACATGGCAGCCGGCAGGTGGGTGGTGCTGACTCCTCGCTCTGAGAGAGGCCCTGACCACCCAGCCCAGGGGAGAGAGCAGGCTGCAACTCATTTGAACGAGACCCATCCAGTCATGAACTAGGCTGGTCCACGGTGGACCAGCCTCCTTTCTTGGGGGGATGAGCTCTCTGTTACCGGAGGTGTGCAAACCGTCCACCCTGCACACTGCTGAAACACGCCTGCCTGGCCTGGAATGCTGACCTGGCCCATCTCCAAAGCCCCTTCTCAGCTCGAGCTGCCCCAAATTTTGGCCTGTTTATGAATTAGTTGCTTCATGCCAGCCACAATGCTAAAGGCTCTTTATGTATTGAATACTTCAGTCCCCACAGAAACCTGGTGTGTACAGATGTTATTATTGCGCCTATTTTACAGACAAGGAAACTGCATTTCAGAGACTGCAAGTCACTTCCCTAAGTCCACACAGCTAGTAAGCAGTGGAACAAGGACTCAAGTTCCTTGGCTTTGCTTTTAATCACTGTGAAAAGGAACGTGAAGGTATTAGCCCCTCAGTCATGTCCAACTCTTTTCCACCCTATGGACTGTACACTGCCAGGCTCCTCTGTCCATGGAGTTCTCCAGGCAAGAATACTGGAGTGGGTAGTCATTCCCTTCTCCAGGGGAATCTTGCTGACCCAGGGATCTAACCTGGGTCTCTTGCATCGCAGATTATTTATCATCTGAGCTACAAGGGAAGCTCTTTAACCACTATGCTGTCCTGCAATTCATTTGATTCTCCAGGTGGGGCTAGCATTACAACCCTCATTTAGTGATGCAGCATAATAGAGTAAGTGGTCTGCCTGGGGTCACAGAGGGGACAGAGTCTGGGGTTTTCCTGTTGGATGTATACCCAGAGTTAGATAAGACTTCCCTTGCTAACACCATTGGGAGAGGCAGCAAGGAGGTAGTGCCCCCTCCCGTGCCCCTGCCAGACTGAAAGTAATCCTGAGGATCTGAAGAACAAAGGTAGCATCCTTTTTCAACCTTTATTGCATGTTCACCATGTGCCATGGCCTTGTTAGGTTTAGACTCTTGGTACAACTGTGTCCCTGGGAGAGACAAAGACCCACCAGGAGGCTGATCACTGGAGGTCCTCGGTGGCGGGGGAGGGGTGTGTGCAGAGATTGAAGGTCTTATCCTAAGGCTCCCACCCCTGTCCTCTCCAGCCTGAAGGGCGGCCCCTGGGTTGTCCTGTGCCCATGGCGCCACCTGGTGGCACTCGCAGCTCTCTCCCACCTGGGATGCCTGCCTCTCCGAGTCGCTTCTTCCCTCTCCAGGGGTCTTGGGCTGCCCAGAGGCTGCCGGTCAGCACGGGGCAGACCAGGGCTTGAGAGGCCACATGATAAAGTGGTGGGGGGCGGGGGAGGACAGGGCAGGCAGGACCAGGAATGTGCTGGGGGCCCGTGGGAACAGAAGGCAGGGCGTGAGGCCATAGGACCCCACCCCGCCTGCCTCTCTGATGCTTTTCTGCAGCATCCACAAGAACCTCCTTCAGAGCCCACCCTGCTCCATCCTGACAGCTGCTTTGGCTGGGAACACCTTAGAAACTCCTCTTGGGATAGCTTCACAGGAGCTGGCTCTCGGGCTCCAGGCAAACCAGCCCGTGGCTTTGCAGTGACAACCAGGGACTTTCCAGGCCGGACTCCCCATAGAGAGCTCAGCCAACTAGGGAGCAATTAGCCTCCCCTGAGGCTGACTCATGCACTGTCACCCCTCACGGCTCAGGGTTCTTTGGGACTGAGGACCTCCCTCCCCTGTGGGCAGGGCGCGAGGCGGGAGCGGGGGGGCGGTGAGGGGGTGGCAGCCACTAATTGCAAAGATTTCTCGCCCCACCCGGGAGATCCAGCTCCGTGAGGCTCTGGGAGACCAGAGGACCTGTGTTGTAACAGATGCTGGTTCTCACACTTGAGAAATTGCCCACAGCGCTCCCCAAGGTGGATTCCCAAGGTGCTGTGGACAGTGGTGGGTGGCTCTCCAGGGAGCCAACTCTGAAAGGAGGCTCTGGCCAGGAGGAGCCTTTCAAAGAGACTGGGTCATCCCTCCTCCCTTCCCTCTCTCTCCTCCTTTCCCTCTCCCTCCTCCTCCCTCTTAGAAGGCCAGTTGGTGAAGCTCAAGCAACGCCCCCCCTTCATTTTCATCCCAGGCCAGTGGGGGAAGTTGCCTCACCTACAATACGGGGATGAAATACCCACCTTGCACGGATCTGATGAAGAACAGTCATAGTAACGAGGTGAGAGCGCTTTGCAAAGAATGAAGTGTTTGTTGAAAGTAGCTGCTTTGCCTTAAACCTTTGAGCCCCTTTCAAGGAGGTCTCTTTACAGGGGCTGGGCCAGGGGTGGGGGTGGGGGTGGGGGGTGGGTTCTCTCTGCAGAGAACAAGGGTCTGCACTGGGAGGGATGCAGGTGCAGCCCCCAAGGGTGTGCAGTTATGGACAAGGAAGTCTGCCGTGGGGGGACAGGTCTGGGGGGCAGCAGGGTGACATTCAGGAACGGGAGGAGGGCCTTCCAGGTGCCCATGGAATCCTGAGCCGGCCCCTGGTAGGTTCCAGAAGCAGGGTGCCGGGGGGGCTGGGCGGCGGCAGGGAAATAGCCCCGGGTCTCTCACCGCTGACCCTCCAGAAAGCTCTGCATTCCTTTCTCCTGTTTGTCCATGGAATTGCATCTTGGCCTTCTCTCTCAAACCCTCGTGCCTGGGGATACCTGGGTCAACGCCAGAAGGCCTTCAATCCACAGGTGGCAAAGACCCCGGGCCATCACCTCTAATTCCTACACAAGTCCTTCGGATGACCCACAAGAAGCTTTGGTTCACTCATTCATTCATTCAACAAACATCTCCAGAGCCTTGCTCTGGCCCAGGACCTGTCCTGGGCACCTTCCATCTAGGACAGAGCTTCTCGCCCACATATCTAAGTCACAACCCAGTGGGAACCCTATGTGAAAGGGATGCAAGCCCAGATCAGGCTGAGCCTGCCATGGAAACCATGGCCACAGCGTTCTGAGTCTTGGTCAGGAGCTCCCAGGAGTAGAAGAGAGAGGGCGGGCAGGAGGGGCTGAGATGTCAGCTCCAGGCTCCGGAGCTGAGACAGGAGAGGGGGCCCAGGGGAGCTGGACTGAGACAGCCCCCCTCCTCCCCCATCCCCTGATGAAGCCACCTTCTCTCCAGGGTCAACAGTCAGATGAATAAAACCATTTATGTTTCTATTAAAAAATTACTGGTGTTGCAACCGGTATCGATTTCCACTGTGTTCATTTCACAGGTACAGATTTTCAGCCACACTCTGAGTTAAGCAGCTTGCTGGCTGTTCCTGGAAGCCTGGCATCATTTGTGATATGGTTTCTGAGTGGAAAGACTTTCTCCGGAAGACAGCTCATTTGGAAGTAAAGAGACTTCCTGCATTCCCTGGAGTGAAAATCCCGTTCTGTACAAAATGCCTGCCACACTGTGGCTTTTAGAACCAGAAATCTACAGGGGATGTGCTGATTGACAAGAACCACAGCCTGCCCTGAGTCCAGATAGGAAAAGGAACAGAGAAAGTCAGCTGAGTCCAGGCCTTCAGATGCTGTGATCTTTCCACCAGGTCCCACAGAACAGCAGCAGCCTGAGGACCTAAGGATTTCACGCCCGCAGAAACCTCCTCCCCGGGAAACCCCCCACCACCCCCGCGGAGCCTGGAGGAAAGTGTTTTCAGGCTCCTTGCATCTGGCTTGGGTGAAAGTATTCCTAAGCAGCAGCCCAGCCTGGCGGGGCGCCCAGGCCTGAGTCACCGCATCCCCGCGCCCTGCTGGCCATTCCTTTTCCTTTCTCCGCTCCCTAAATCTATCTGCTGATCTTTGTTGTCACCACCTTCTGGAAGATGAGCCGTGCACAGGCCGCGGACATCCCTGAGCTGCCCACGGGACCGGGGCTGGGCTCCAGGCCGGGTGCAGCTGACCTCCAGGCGGGCAGGAAACCCAGGGCCTGGAGCAGGCAAGGGGCCTCTCTGACACCACTCTGTGCCCGCCCCCTTGCCCCAGCGTCGACCTGCCTACCTGTGTCTGGCCAGTGTCTGGGAAGGGGGCGAGGGGGCGGGAAGGGTGGCCCCAGGAGGGAATGGAACTCTTCTTTGCCAGATGCTGGGCTTGCATCCATCCTCTTGGCCACCCTCCCGGGCAGGTATCCCCATCTTGCAGATGAGGAAACAGGTTTAGAGAGAAGTCACTTTTCTAAGGCCACACAGCCAACAAGGGCAGAGCTGGGGTTTGAATCACGGGCTGCCTCTTAACAACCTCTGGGGTGTCTGCACTCCCTGGCTAGGTGGTGAGCTCTCCGTGGCTGCTTCTCCTCCCAGGTCCTCACCTGCCCTGCATGCAGCAGCTGTGCCTTCCAGGGACAGGACACCTCTGTCTTTGCAGGTGCTCAGAACAAGCACAAGTATCTCTTGAATGAATGAATGGGAAACTGGGAAAGGAGTCCTATATGAGGCCCTTTTCTGAATGCAGAGGTAAAAGGGGCCCGCAGGGAGTTCTGATTACATTTTTGTTGCTGTTTAGTCTCTCAGGCTCAGTCGTGTCTTTGCGACCTCATGGACTGTAGCCCGCCAGGCTCCTCTGTCCATGGGATTTCCCAGGCAAGGATACTGGAGTGGACTGCCATTTCCTCCTCCAGGGGATCTTCCTGGAGACCCAGGGATTGAACCTGTGTCACCTGCATTGGCAAGCAAGTTCTTTACCACTGAGCCACCAGGGAAGCCTTAATCAAATTCACAGTAGATGCATATGACTTTGATTACAAACTTGTAGAAAGTGGATGTCAGAATCTGAAAACATAGAATTTGGCCCTTCATAGGAAAGAATTGGCTAACTTGTAGAATTATAAAGTATTAGGAAGTTGGCCTCAGAAGGGAGTTCCTCCTTCAACTCAGTTCCTCAGGTGTTTAAACTGTGCTCCCTGGGACAAGGCCTTGGGCTTGGTGCTGAGATCATGGGAAAACAAGATCCCTCCCAGATGATTCCCTTCCCCTCGTGGGGATCCCAGATGCCTGCATCACAGGCTTCCAGGGACACGCTGCTGAAGCAGAGGGGGAGGGGAGGGGACCGACAGATGGTCCCGGGGTCCAGGCAGTCGAGGAAACAGCTGTGCTTGGGGTCAGAGCAGGGGTGGGGGCAGGAGGCCTTGGCTGTTTGGGGAACTTGATGGGGGAGAAGGAAGTGAAGGGGATGGGCTCTGAGGGCTTCCTGCGGTCTGCAGGTGACCTGGGGCTCCCGCCACCTCTCCCTAGAGCCCTTGTGGCTTTGCCCCTCCCCTTTCTGCCTCCCCCCCCGCCCCCCCACCCCCGCTTGTGTTCCACCCATAACAGGAGGCTCTCAGCCCCTGCCCTGGGTGAACAGTCCTTCCTTAGGAGGAACTTCTTCCATTTCCTCCCACAGGTGAGGATGGGGGTGTGGTCCCCAGCCTCCCACCAGGCCAAGACATCCCCAGTCCTCCTCATTCCCCCGCCTGGCTTCCAGCTCCTCCAGTTGCATCTCCCTGGTGTCCAGCTGGGGTCTGTGCAGGGCTGAGGTCAGTGGGAGTGTGGCCCTGCCCGCATCCTGGACAGGTACTGCCCAAGAGTCCCTCGGCTCCTTTTGGGTCCCCCGGTGCCCCTGAGCGGCTGGTCCACCCTCTGCTGTGCCCCCTCTATGTCCTCGGAAGCCACCCCCACGTGGGTCCTCTTTTGAGGTGACTCGTCATGGTGACTATCATCTGCCTCAGTTCAGTTTAGTTCAGTCGCTCAGTCGTGTCCAACTCTTTGCGACCTCATGGACTGCAGCACGCCAGGCCTCCCTGTCCATCACCAACTCCCAGAGCCTACTCAAACTCACGTCCATTGAGTCAGTGATGCCATCCAACCATCTCATCCTCTGTTGTCCCCTTCTCCCGCCTTCAATCTTTCCCAGCATCAGGGTCTTTTTAAACAAGTCAGTTCTTTGCATCAGGTGGCCAAAGTATTGGAGTTTCAGCTTCAGCATCAGTCCTTCCAATGAATATGCAGGACTGATTTCCTTTAGGATGGACTGGTTGGGTCTTGTCTTCCTCCCACGTGGGAAAAGCCTGGCGTTCCCTGAAGAGGCCCATCAGTGGGGCTCATGGGGAGGCACCATTTTAGAAGTCCCCCTTCTCTGTCCCCTCTGACACTCTGATTTCCAAACCCTCGCCTCATTAGCTGAGGTTGCCCACAGGTCATTTTGATTTTGAAAAAAGCTTTCTCAGGCTGTGCGATCCACGCTCTGTGGGGAAGCTCAGAGTGTAGGCAAAGATAACTCGCCCACTTAGCCTGGCCCGTGGGGGGAACAGCAATCATCTTTGTGGGACGTGAACCAGGAAACAAGGGAGGGATGGGGCCAAGAACCGGCTTCTGTGAGGATTCAGGAGGCCTTCGGGCACTTCACACAGGTGATCTCATAGCCCCCCCGGAGCGACACGCTGCCCCTAGTAAAACAGAAAGAGCCGAGCTGGGAAGCTTGGTAGCCAGGTAGCCAGGATCCGGAGTGAAGCAGCGGCAAGACCAAGCCCCCTGCCCACCCCACCCCCCCACCTTTTCTGTAAATTGCCTGCTTTCAGAGGAAGCTGGGGGCTGAGGCTTACAGTTTTGACTAGACCTTCTTTGGGAAAAAAGATCTCCACAATTGCAAAACCAACATGAGGTGTGACAGTGAATAGTAACTTCCCCTTCCAGTGAGAACAGAACTCACAAGTTACAAATTCTGAAAGGCTGACAATGCCATAAACATCCAACAACTCAGGAACATACCCGGGAATTCTGTAACCTCCCAACCACCTCTATACACTACTCCCTGTGATCTTGTATGCTGATCACCTCTTTGTCTGATGGGGATTTTGGAATGCCACGCTCTATACAGAGAATGCATGGCATCCGGTCCCATCACTTCATGGCAGATAGATGGGGAAACAATGGAAACAGTGACAGACTTTATTTTCTTGGGCTCCAAAATCACTGCAGATGGTGACCGCACCCATGAAATTAAAAGACACTCCTTGGAAGAAAAGCTATGGCCAACCTAGACAGCACATTAAAAATCAGAGACATTACTTTGCCAACAAAGGTCCATCTAGTCAAGGCTATGGTTTTTCCAGTAGTTATGTATGGATGTGAGAATTGGGACTATAAAGAAAGCTGAACACTGCAGAATTGATGCTTTTGAACTGTAGTGTTGGAGAAAACTCTTAAGAGTCCCTTGGACTGCAAGGAGATCCAACTAGTACATCCTAAAGGAAATCAGTCCTGAATATTCATTGGAAGGACTGATGCTGAAATTGAAACTCCAATACTTTGGCCACCTGATGCGAGGAACTGATTCATTGGAAAGGACCCTGATGCTGGGAAAGATTGAAGGCGGGAGGAGAAGGGGACAACAGAGGATGAGATGGTTGGATGACATCACCAACTTGATGGACATGAGTTTGAGTAAACTCTGGGATTTGGTGGTGAACAGGGAAGCTTCAAGTGCTGCAGTCCATGGGGTCGCAAAGAATCGGACATGACAGAGTGACTGAAGTGAACTGAACTGATACAGAGAATGTAAATTTAGATCAAGTTTCCTTTGCAGATGAGCAGGAAGAATTCAGGGCATGTTGTTTCCTTCCACAGAGACCAACCTGCTTCTTGGATGGACGACCCTCAATACCCAGTGTAGCTTCGGTGGCCTGTCTGCAGGGATATATTTTGAGTTTTGTGTTATGCTTGTGTATTTGTTTTTTTGGCAGTGCTGCACAGCCTGTGGGATCTCAGTTCCCTGATCATGGGTCGAACCCGCGCCACCTGCCATAGAATCGTGAAGTCTTAACCACTGGGCCGCCAGGGACGTCCCTGTGTTGTTTACTAATGTCAAGAAAGTAAGAAAGTGAAAGTGTTAGTCTCTCAGTCGTGTCTGACTCTTAGTGACCCCGTGGACTGTAACCCACCAGGCTCCTCTGTCCATGGGATTCTCCAGGCAAGAATACTGGAGTGGGTAGCCATTCCCTTCTCCAGGGGACCTTCCTGACCCAAGGATCAAACCTGGGTCTCCTGCACTGCAGGCAGATTCTTTACCATCTGAGCCACCAGGGACTCCCATCAGCATCAACATTTCATGCCAAATCATTAAGAAATTCAAATATTATTTCATCATTTTCACTGGATGTCCTCTTTTTCCTTCCTCAGTGGGATAATACCTGGAAGTCATCCAGACCCTCAGCAGCCCAAGGACCGGCCTCCACGTGGAGGTAACTGGGAGCCACATAAGCTATGGCCGGTCCAACACCACCTGCCTGGGAGAGAGGAGGGGAGGCCGTCAGAGCAGCATGAGGCTCAACTAACTGAGGTTAAAATGTCTGCAGAAAGCTACGATCACGCAAACACAATGTAGTGACAGATTGCAGTTCAGTGGCTGAAACAAAGAATGTATTTTTACTGAATGGCACTGACTGAGCAGGTACATCCCGGCAGGCGAAGCCAAGGCACTCCTTGGCTGTTCCAGAGGAAGCGGCCCAGAGAGGACGCAGCAGCCGAGCTCCTGCTGAGGTCTGCAAGGCCCGGCTCTGCCACGTCCTACCTGCGGGAACCTGGGCCAGTCACCAGGGCCCTCTGGGCCTCAGCCTTTTCCTGCTCTGGGCCTATGAGAAGAGCAGCCAGAAGGAGAGCGAGGACCGTGACACTGAGAGGCCATGGATGAACGTGGAGCTGCTCTCGTCTGTCCGTCTGTCCGGGGACCCTGCCATGTGGGGGTCTGCAGGGGGCCCCGGCTTCCTGGGGTAAAGAACCCTCCTGCCGATGCAGGAGACATAAGGGACTCGGGTTTGACCCCTGGGTCTGGAAGATCTCCTGGAGGAGGGCATGGCAACCCACTCCACTATTCTTGCCTGGAGAATCCCGTGGACAGAGCGGCCTGGTGGGCTACAGTCCACAGTCACAAAGAGTTGGACACGACTGAAGCGACTTAGCACAACACAACACAGCAACAGGGCCCCCGGAGGCCAATTGTGGGAGCTCAGCTGTCTCCCAGGCATGGAGAAAGGGGTGATGATTCTGACCAGGATTCAGAACCAGGCCCAACTGGGCTGTGCTTACCTGCAGGTGGAGCCGCAGCCTCTCTCCCTGGCCTGGGTCTGCCCTCACCCTGGCATTCCACCAGCCCACATGGACACCTCAGTGGGCACGCTCAGGAGATAGCCTATTTTCCCCCCTTTTCCTTTCAGGCCTGATGGGTTTCCCTGGTGGCTCAGACGGTGGTAAAAAAAAAAATCCGCCTGCAATGCAGGAGACCCAGGTTTGATCCCTGGGTCGGGAAGATCCCCTGGAGAAGGGAATGGGTACCTGCTCCAGTATTCTTGCCTGGAGAACTCCATGGACAGAAGAGCTTGGCCGGCTACAGTCCATGGGGTCAGGAAGAGTCAGACACAACTGAGCAACGGGAGGCTTTCACTTTCACTTTCAGGCTTGATGGATGACACAAGGCTCCTCCTCCAACTGGCAAGAAATCCAGCCCACACTTTGCCTCCAACTCGACCGTGCAGGACCCGGCTCCCCTTCATCGTGGCATCAAAGGTCTGTTTGATCAGTTTTTCATCCATTTTCTGAAAGCGTGGTGATTTGGAGCTGTCCTGAATCTTGCAGGACTGTTCCAGTGTGCACCCCGGCCAGATACTGATGAAGCCCCGAAGTTGAGGTTGGATGGCTGATCTGCTCCCTGGGGGCCCCTTCATGCCCTCAAGGCCCCCAACCATGGCCCCCACGACCCTGGCTCTCTGCCCTTTAACAGAGCCCCCCTGAGGGACAGACGGTGAGCTGAATGCTTGTGGGAGAGGGTCAGAGAGGCAGTGAGCAGTCCTCCCTGGGCGGGGATGCTCTATCCAGCCCTGCCCCAGGTTGGACAGGAGGGACAGGGTGGGAGGGGAGGGGGTGACGTAGTACAGACTAAGGTGGCATCTCTGTACTGGTATCCTGGCCTCCATGGTCCCTCTGCTCAGCATTCCTGATGGTAAGGAAAAAGACTGATTCAGTGCTGGCTGAGTGTTCTGCATCTCACATCTTTAGTAATAAGCTTTCTGATTTGACAGCGAATCCCAGTTTTACGAAAGCACTTTCTCAACCATTTTCTTCCCCCTTGTGCACAGAACCCTGTGAGGTAGCAGCTCCCCAAGTTTTCAGGGAAGGGAGCCGGGGATTGGAGAAGCTGTGCCACGTTCTGGGGCATGGGTTACTGTCAAGGATGCTCACAGGTCAGAAAGGCCAGGGGCACCCTGCTGGGAACCTGCGCGGGTGTCAGGGCAGGGAGCCAGGGGGATGGGAGTGGGCCTTGGACCAGGGCTCAGGATGGAAGCCATGACATCCCAAGGGTGAGGAGCCCGAAAAGAGCAGGGCAGAAACAAGGACGCGTGAGAGTGAAATCGAGCTCAGAAAGTGTAACAATCAAAGATCTATAAAGAGGGCTTCCCAGGGGTCCAGTGGTGAAGAATCCACACTGCAATGTAGGGGACAGCGGTTTGATTCCTGGTCGGGGGTGATCCCACCTGCCTCGAAGCAACTAAGCCCATGCAACAGAACTACTGATCCTACAAGCCGCAGCTGGAAAAGGCCTGTGTGCAGCAATGAAGACCCACCACCGACACAGAAATAAATCTTTTTAAAAAATCTATAAAGAGAAAGGTCACCCCCCACACCCCCGGTCCCTTTCCCCCAAAGGTGTCTACACCTTTATTCCACCTGCCACCTTCCTCACTCTTCTGACCTGCAAACATATAAAGCAACAGAGCCACATGCCTCCAGGGAACTGGACTTGCTGGTTTTTACTGCAGTAGGGCCACCCTCACCCTTTCTACTTGAGTGTATCTTGCTTCGGGCTGGTGGGCAGGCCAGTGAGGGGCAGGTCCAGCCAGCACCTGGCCAGTCAGCTGTCAGAAAGGAGGGCCAGGCGAGGCTGCAGCCAAGCAAGGATCTGCTCTGCCCAGGGTGGGGGGTGGGGTAGGGGTGGGGGAACTGGCCCTGGGCAAAGCGGCAGAGGGCAGGGAGCTGAAAGAAGTCAGGAGTGGGGACAGCCTTGCCCAGCTAGAAGACCTGGTGGGGGACAGAAGTCCCCACAGGAAAGTCAAGGCTATTCCTGGTGGGAGAGGGGCGGAGGATGCTAGACTGGCAAAAACTGGCAAGAACCACGGCCAACAAAAACGGATATGTTTTTGTCAAGCTCTTTTCTAATCCATACTCCCCTCCCTCCCACCACAGACACCACTGTGGAAATTGCTTGGAGAATGAAAGAAGGGAAAGCAATGGACTTTATTCGGAATGGGGACTTTGTGATTTTTCTGTTGCTAAGTAGCAACTCTAGGGATACCTCCCCCAACCCCACCTATCAGGCAGAGGAGCTGGGGAGATGGAGGGACATCCCAGCCTGAGATCTGAGGGTGATGGTCAAGGACCACAAAGGCTCCAGGGCCATCAGCGAGCCCCAGGCTCCAACTTGCCTCTGCCCTCCCTGAGAAAGTCTTACTGAACGCAGTGGGCTGAACTGTGTTCCCCCAAAATACACGTTCAAGGACTAACCCCCTGTGAATGAGACTTTATTTGGAAATAGGGTCTTTGTAGATGTAATTAGTTCCTTTCATCTTGAGATGAAATCATCTTGGATTTAAGGTCAGCCCTAAATCCACTGGCTGGTGTCGCTGTGAGAAGGGGCCAGGACACACAGGGATGCAGGGAGGAAGGCTGCTTGGAGGTGGAGGCAGAGCCTGGGGGGATGTAGTTAAAAGCCATGGGATGCTGGGGGCCCCCAGACGTCGTGAGAGGAAAGGAAGGATCCTCCCCCAGAACCTCCAGCAGGAGCATGACCCCCCTGGCTACTCACCACATCTCAGCAAGGTGCTTGTTGATTACCAGTTCCTCTCCCTCTCTGATAAAAAGCTCAAACATGATGAGATTGGGTTTCTGTTTTGTTGTTCTATCTCTCCGTCGTGTCTGACTCTTTACGACCCCATGGACCGCAGCACACCAGGCTCCTCTGCTCCACTGTCTTCTGAGTTTGCTCAAACTCATGTCCACTGAGTCGGTGATGCCATCCAACCATCTCGCCTCTGTCGTCCCCTTCTCGTCCTGCCTTCAATCTTTCCCAGCATCAGGGTCTTTTCTAATGAATCGGGTCTTCACATCAGGTGGCCGAAGTATTGGATCATCCCTAAATGTGGATGTATCACAACTTTCCCCTTCGTTTTTTTCCCTTCCTTCTACATTTTTTTCTTTCAATTAAATTTACTTTAAATTGGAGGATAACTGCTTTCTGCCATACATCAACAGAGATCAGCCATAGGTATACATGTGTCTCCTCCCTCTTGAACCTCCCGGTCACCTCCCACCCTGTTCCACCCCTCTAGATTGTCACAGAGCGCTGGGTTTGACCTCCCTGCGTCATATAGTAAATTCCACTGGCTATCTATTTTACATATGGTAATGTACATGTTTCAGCACTACTCTCAATTCCCACCATCTCCTTCCCCCGCTGTCCGCAAGTCTGTTCTCTGTGTCTGCGTCTCCACTGCTGCCCTGAAAACAGGTTCATCAGTACCATCTGTCTAGATTCCTTCCCTTTTTTATTTGGAAACAATGAGTTTGGGGTTTTTTTTTTTAACTTTTAAAAAGATTTATTTTTAAACTTATTTTAAAATTTATGTACAGTTAAATTCACTCTTTGGGGTATATACGTCTCTGGGTTTTGACAAGTGTAACAACTTGTTATGTAACCACCACCACAGTCACTATAAGGAACATTCCATTTAACAGAAAAAGGGTTCCTGGATGGCGCAGTGCTAAAGAAGCCACCTGCCAGTGCGGGAGACTCAGGAGACATGGGTTCAGCCTCTGGACTGGGAGGAGCCCCTGGAGCAAGAAGCAGCAACCCACTCCTGTATTCTTGCCTGCAGAATCCCGCAGACACAGGAGCTACAGTCCATAGGGTCGCAAAGAGCCAGACACAGCTGAAGCGCCTTAGCGTGCTCACATGCACAACCATTGGCTTCTCTGGGGGCTCAGACAACTAAAAATCTGCCTATAATGCGGGAGACCTGGGTTCAAACTTTGGGTCAGGAAGATTTCCTGGAGAAGGAAATGGCAGCCCACTCCAGTGTTCTTGCCTGAAGAATCCCATGGACAGGGGAGCCTGGCAGGCTATAGTACATGGGGGTCTCAAGGAGTCCCCAGATGCTTGAAGCAAAAACTGACAGATTTACAAAGAGAAATATACAAGGTGACAATTATAGTTGACGCTTTCAATACTCTTCTTTTAATATTGGTAGAACAAGTGGACAAAAATCAGTAAGTACTTAGAAGACTTGGAACAACATTATCAACCATCCTAACCTAACTGACATTTATAAAATACCTTGCCCAACGATAGCAAAATGCATATCCTTCTCAAGTTCACACAGAACATTTACCAAGATAGACAATATTCTGGGCCATTAAACAAGTCTCTGTGTATTCAAAAGGATTCAAGTCACGTGAAGTATGCCTTCTTATCACAAATTAAATTAGAAGTTGATAATAGGAAGATCTCTGAAAATGCCCAAGTATTTGGAAACTTAACACACTTCTAAATAACACATGGGTCAAAACAGAAATTTGAAAGTATTCTGAACTGACTGAAAAAATAAAACACAGCATGTCAAGTTTTGTGGGATTATTAGCTTTAGATATCTTGTGGATGTTCT